GTTTTTGACTTTGCTTTTGTCTTCTGCTTCTGACTTGTTGAATGGAAAAGATGGCATCTTTCAAGCGCTGCTCCAAGTGCGGCACGAAGATCCCCACTTCAGACTGCCATGACCAGTGTTTCGCTTTGCCTTGGCGAAACACATAATCCGAAGGCTTGCCTGCTTTGCAAGGGCGTGACGACTCAGGCCCTGAAGAACAGGGACCTGAAACTTAAGGCTGCGTTGTGGGAATAAGCCCTCAGGGCAGCATCTGCACCTGCCCGTCCCTCCTCGGGTGAAGGGACCTCCACCTCCATCGTGGAAAAGGATAAGGAGAGAGGCAGGACTAAAGAAAAGTCCAAAGACAAATCTTCCAAAGACAGGAAATTTCCAAGGCCGATAAAGACTGGGGCGATGGTGTTGGAAAAAAGACAGCAAAAAAGAAGCACCTCGAGCTGGGTAAGGAAAGGTTGCCTGTCCTGCGCCAAAAAGAGCCCAGTCCATCTCTCCTAAGAGACAGGTTCCTGAGAATCCGTCTCATTTAACCAAGACCCCTTCAGCTTCCCTTGGCTCCGAACTGATTCTGTCCACCCCGGCTGTGAGGTCTCCATCACCTCCGATTCATGTGGAGTCTGAATCGGAGGGTGAAATCCAGGAGATGGAACCGCCATCCCTGACTCCCAATCAAATGAAAAGGTCAGTCCGGAGCACTTCTTGGGCCCAGGAGATCCCACCAGGCCATTGACACCGAGAAACCACCTTCCTCAGTCTCAAAGCGGACCAGGCCAGGATGGAAGACAGACAGGTGCAAATTGATCCCTTCCTTCAGCAGTATCCCGACTAGATTTATAATGCCCAGACTGGGCGATATTATCTACCTGTGCAACCTGACCAACTGGAAGAAGGTTGGTATTGAGCTGAGGCCCGACCATCCCGAGAGCTCTCACCACGTCCTCCAGTTCTGCCTTGACATACATCGTTTACTGGTGGGCCGCTTCCAAGGTCTCCAGAGGATTCACCAGCTTCGAGCCGTTCTGCAGCTCGATCCTGCTCTCCTACACTTGAATCCGGAGAGGAAAGATCACCCAGTCCAGCGCCTGTGGTCAGCTTGGCATCATGATCCCCCATTGACGATGTCAAGTCTTTTTCGGACCAGGTGATACGGATGGGAATTAGAAGTGGCCAAGGCTGATGAAGAAGCTCTCGACCTGATAGAAAAATGAATCCATGGGAAGGTGCAGACACCACAGGCCATTCCTTACTTTCCATCCTTGGAGAAGATTGCTAGGAGATCCTGGACTGCTCCTGCTAGTGTGTCCTCGACCTCCAGGAGGATTGAAAACCTCTCTAGAGTTTCATGGTCTGGTCCATCCTGGCTGTTCGAGCACCCTCGACAAAATTCAGCCATTGTTGAGGGTGCCCAACTGGCTTTTACACCGAGAACCTACTCCTCTCCCACCAATAAGTAAAGCAAAAAACTCGATGCTGCAGCCATCTTGGACCTTAAGGTGGCGAACTACGCAGCTTGTATGGGTGCGTATGATTATGGAGAGTTTGGAGCCCCTTCTCGCTGGAGTCCCAGATGAAGCTAGAGCCTTGGCACTGGCCATCCAAGCGGAGACCCACGCCTTGGGTAGCCAGCAGATCATCTCGGCATGCAACTCGTCCGACTGTGCTGCCAAGTTTTGTTCGGCTTGGTGGCCCTTCAACATCATACCTGGCTAAGGGCATCGGACTTGACCGTGCAAGTGAAGACCGCTATAGAAGATATGCTCTTCGATGATTCCGGTCTCTTTAACAAAGAGATGGATGAAAAGTTAAATTTCTGATACCGCATGAAAACAGCAGCTAGGAAACATGGCATGTCTTCTACCTTCCAGTCACTCAAGCGCTGCTTTATGGGTCAGTGATCCTGGTATCAGCGGTATCAACGTCCGTATCAGCAGCAAGAACATCATCTACAATCTCAAGGTCAGTCAAGACAGCACCACCCTCTCATTCCTCCTCTTAGTCCTTGGGCTGTCATCAGCAACGCCACACTCTGTACTGTCAGAATTTTAGGAAGAAGCCCTCCAACTTGGGCAAGAGGAGGTTATGAGAATGGGACTGTGCACTTCGATGAGCCTCCCTTCGGTGACAGACTAGAGGTCTATTTCAACACCTGTACCTCAATCACCTCTGACTCCTGGATTCTAGATATTGTTTGCAGGGGCTATGCCCTTGAGTTCGAGGAGCTCCCAACCACTGGAGCTGACCTGTCTACCAGCCCCTCAGACATCCTACTTGATGAAGTGTGCGCCTTGCTTGAGAAAGGAGCCATTGAGCCCATTGACCCCTCTCGGGCCTGGCACTGTGTCTTCTGTCATTATTTTACTGTTCCCAAAAAGGACTTGGGCATCAGGCCCATCCTAGACTTGAGGTGCTTGAACTCTTGTTTGATACTGAAGGTTTCGAATAATAACCCTTGCTTCTATTTTACCTCTCCTGCAGAAGGGACACTGGTTTGTGACCATCGATCTCAAGGATGCTTATTTCCCTATCAGCATCTGAAGAGATCACAGGAGGTTCCTCGCCTTCGCCGTCGGGACCAAGATTTACCAATACAGGGTCCTGTTCGGCCCCTCCATGTCTTCACCAAGTACATGGCCCCGATGAGAGCCTACTTCCACCAGCAAGGAATCATGGTCTTCCCTTACTTGGTCGACTGACTCTTCACAGCCCTGACCAGTCAACAGCTGCAGCGGGACATCCACTTTGCCCTGTCTCTCTTAGACTTGCTTGGACTTATGGTCAACAGCGAGAAGTCGAGCTTAACCCCATCTAAACGAGTCAAGTTCATTGGGGCTATTCTCAACTCTGAAGAGTCCAAGGCCTTCCTCCCCCAAGACAAGTTTCAAGCCCTTTGTACAGCCATCAGGGACTGCCTTCAGCACAGACTCATCAGAGCCTGCACTGTCCAGGTAGCGCTGGGACACCTGCCGTCAATGACATCGGTGACCCCAGGGGCAAGACTTCACCTCCAGCCGATACAATTCCTGTCGTGTCTTTGATCCCATGTGTGAGCGTCTCTCCAAATGGCTCACGGTACCAAGACCCATAGCCAGATCATTGTCTTGGTGGCTCGAGCCAGACAACATCTGCACCGGGATGCCCTTTCCGGCTCCTCAACCAGGAATCAATTTAACAATGGACGCGTCCCTAGAGGGATGGGGAGCGCACACACAGAAACTGTCAAGGACCAATGGTCCCCTATGGAGAGAGAGCTTCATATCAACACTCTCGAGATGTTTGCTGTGGAGAAGGCCCTCAGGGTATTCCAGACGGTACTGTTGGGCAAGGTAGTGCTCCTCCTCATGGACAACACCACTGTGATGTTCTACCTAAACAAGCAAGAGGTACACGGTCCCAGATGCTTCTACAAATCACAATCCACATCTGGAACTGGTGCATCAACAACAACATATTACTGCAGTCAGTGCATTTACTGGGAGAGGACAACGACCTGGCGGACAAGCTCAGCAGATCGTCTAATCTGTGCCATGAGTGGCACCTCCACCCGGACACAGTCTCCAATCTCTTCTCCATCTGGGGCAGTCTGGAGACTGACCTCTTCGCAGAGTTTGTATCGCATAGACAGACATAGAATTTATGACTTCACATGGTGGGCACCTTTTAGCATTTTTGGACAATCATATAGGACAAGATGCATGATTTTCTCTTTTATTGAGTTCTGTAGGGGTACCTTTGAGCACTGGTGTCTGTCTGATAGAAAGTGGTTTCTTGTCAAGGAAATATTTGCAAGTACAGATTGAGTCAAACACCAGAATTTTTTTCATGGCTGGCTAAGATAGTGACAGTTTTGCTTTCTGTTGGTTGGTTCAGTGTACACAAACCTTGTTTCATGCACAACATTATTGAAAATATTGTATGAAATTACCTTCAAGCTATGTGTATAAGGTGTATATGAAACATAAATGGTTTTTGTGTTTACACTTGGGTCCCATCTCCAAGATAGCTCATTATGTATGTAAATGTAAATATTTTTTGTTGTTGTGTGCCTTAGTTTCCGACTTATAGTGAGCCTACTATAATGTGAACCTATCATGGGGCTTTCTTGGCAAGATTTGTTCAGAGAAGAGAAAGTAATTTTCTAATCCAAAAAATGTTTGCTGTTCCATCTTTTCCAGCTCGTCCTGCATGTGGTTTAAGAAAATTTTTCTCCCGGAGTAGCTTAGCATAATAGAATACATGAGAATCCAAATGTCCCATTTTTTTTCTCTTTCCCTAGGATCCCTCCATAAAAGGAACATTCCATTGGTCTGGTAATGAACAGATGACTAAGTTTGAAATGGCCCGTGCTATGGCTGATGCATTCAACCTTCCTAGTAGCCACTTGAGGCCAGTAAGTAATAGCCAAAATTGTTGTAATAGTCTGAAATTAGTGGAAATCATGTGGCTCTCCAGATATCATTGAAGTTTAAATCCCAGTGTAATAATAGCTATCATAGCATCTGATGAGGTATGCTGGCAGCATATGGAGGGCTTCATGATACTCACCCATAGTCTCAAACCTCTCACAAATAAGACAGGAAGGTCATTCTACTATTTGTGAACATACTTGGATTTGCTTTATGTTGTAGAGCAAATAGCTAAATTTTTTGTTACTTTCAGATGATTCTAGATTTTTGTCTTGTAATTTCAAAAGTATCTGACAATTGGCTAGATGCTTAGGATGGTGTTATCATCTCCATATATTGAAGAGGCTAGGATATAATTTTGTTCTGAATGTAGTTCCCATTCTGGCCTCAACCCTTCTGTTCTAGGCTTCTGTTGTAAAACACTGAACTAGTGGGCTTCTTGTTCTTGTGCCTTCAATTTGTTCCCAATTTAGAGTCACCATAGGGTCACCTTATGATGGGGTTTTCTTGGCAAGATTTGGTCAGGGTGGGGGGTGGGTTTGCCATTGTTTTCCTTGAGGCTGAGAGAGTATGACTTGCTCAGGATCACCAAGTGAGTTTGCATGGCTGAGTGGGGATTAGAACCCTAGTGTCTCAAGAGTCCTAGTCCAGCATGCAAACCACTACACTGCACTGCTTGGAGGCAAATGCATGATATTCCATGCTTGTAAATGGGAAGCTTGGGGAAGAAGGTGTTCCATCCTTCCTCTTTGCACAGTATAGAAACTAAGCGGGTTGTCTTTCATGGTCAGGGCAGCAATTTGGTGGGCTGCTAAAGAAAAGGCAAAACTTTTGGTTAATCCAAGAATGAGTAATTTCTCAGTTTTGCATTTAAAAAGTCAGCAGGTAAATACTAGACAGCTATGTCACCTCAGTATTTGGAAATATTAACTGTAGACTAAAATTCGCAGAATATCCCTGCTTGCAGGGCCATTGGAATTGTAGTTCAAAAGCAGAACTTTCCTCAACTTTGCTTTACTCTTAGGAGCAGTTTCTTGAATATAAGTAGGTGCATTCCCAGTGTGCATAGATGGCCAGCTGGATCCTTAGAATAAGACCCAGCCAAGGATTTGAGGGGAGAGTAGCCTTTGTCTTTCAGTACTAGCAAACTTTTTTATTCACTGCTGAGTCCTATTATGGGAAAATATTTAAGATAATATTGTATATTGTTTGTGGACAAGAAAAATTGGGGGGGGGGTCCTGTGGAAAAATGCCTTAACTCTTTGTTGTACAGAATCTGTGACTATCTCTCTTTGCTGCCTATTGCTATTTTTAGATTACAGATAGCCCAGTGGTGGGTGCACTTCGTCCCAAGAATGCTCATCTTGACTGTTCCAGACTGCGCATGTTGGGCATTGAACAGCAAACTCCTTTTCGGGTTGGGATTAAGGAATCACTTTGGCCTTTTTTGACTGACAAGAGATGGAGACAGACTGTCTTCCATTAGTTTGTAAATATTTTAGTGTAAGTATGGTATGAGGCACTTTTTAAAAATGCAGAGGGAAAGGCTAGTTTTGTATTGATTGTTGTATGTTTCAGGTTTAATTCAAATCAGGTAAAAATCATGGTCTTGCACTAGTGAAATTATAAGAGGCACTGGCAAGCAAAGCATCTTATTTGATATTTCTTTCTGTTTTGCCAATTGGCTTACATAAATATCTAGTTATGTGATTCTTACAGCCATCAGTAACCATTGATAAAGAAGATCTGCTTCCTCATTTTTGAAAAGTACAAGTACAGCTCTATGTATTTGTGTGTTTTGCATTTGCTCTACAGAATTTCCCTTAACATTCATTTCCTTAATTGCCAAAAAGAAGAAGTTAAAAAAAAATTAAGCATAGGGCTTTCATGTTTCATTTTGGAAGCTATTTTCTTGTGGTTGAAATTAGTGGGAAGCATTGGAGATTGTTTTAGCTATGATAAAAATATACTAAAGGAACACTTTATTTTTGCAACTAATATATAGGTTTGATGCTCCAGAGAATTTCACAATGTTGTGCATTTTAAAACTCTTGGTTTACTTATCTTTCCCACAGTTGCATGCTTCTGTATACACAGTAATTTGCTTATCTAGACTCTATTTGGTCAGTTGGAAGCATGAAACCTGGATGTTCTCTTTACCTTTTGCTGGCTGGGTTTTTTTCTGAGCTCTTTGAATCCCATTAAATGCAGAAAATTACCAAATCTCTTTGTTAAATGAGTTAACGAGTAACATCTGAGATCTCATAGCTTAGTTCAGACAACAGAGCTATAACAGTAGAATGTTCCTGACAGTAGCTCGCATTGAGTACTTTTAACCCTGATTGTCCTGAATATCCAGTTTAAGTTTACTGTTGTGTAAATTTTGTGTTTTCACTTCTGTATTGGAAGTGCTGGAGTGTATGCTATACAAGCTTTCTGCTTAAAACAAACAAAAACTGCAAGGCAGCTCCTGGTGATGCATTTCATTCTTCTTTCCTTTCTGCAACTTTGTGTCAACTGACCTTCCAAGATAAAACATTCACAGAAAGACGGTATATAACTTTCTGTCATTCCCCACTTTTGTCTTTTGGAGGTCACTTTTGGTGTCAGTTACTTCCCATATTCTAACTTTATCTTAGTTTGAAGTCTTGAAGCACACTTTATAAGTTAAAAATACAATATAACATTAAAGATGTATTGCTGGCATATCATCTTGTGTTGTTGGGTTTTTTTAGTACCTCTTACAGAGTTCCATGTTTCTTTCTACACTTGTTCTGGGGAATACCATTACTCACTTGTATGTGTGAAGCTTTTTTTCTTCCCACAAAGAGGCTTGAAGAGGATCAGGTGCCACACAGAATTATCAGATTTTTTTTGTTCCTGTGTCT